CTTACAGCTTCGAGCTCAAGTGAAGTCCTTTCTGCCATCTGATCTCCTGCAGGAATGGTCACGGGTGGGGGGGGGGGTCCTGCCCCTTCCTAAGGTATCCAACATGGGGGGGGAGCTTGTTGGTGGATCTCTCCCAAATTTCTGGATGCACCTGGGTTATTTATTTATTGCCACAATGAGTTTCTGAGGTCAGGAGTTTGGTGTAACGCCTCGTCGTTCCGGGGCAGGGCCAGAGCAGGGACTGGCTCATAGGGCCCCCCAGTGCTGTGTCATAATCCCACCCCCGTGAGGTTGCAGGCTTGTGTGAAGTAAATGGTGCTGACTGCAGCTAAACAAGTAACTGATAAAGTAGAGCAGGGGTCTCCAACTCCGGTCCTGGAGAGCTACTATCCAGTAGGTTTTCTATCCTACCTGGCTTCTGATGAACCACACTAGTTCTCAGGTAAATACCAGGAGCAGGTGTGGCTCATCAGAAGCCAAGTAGGATAGAAAACCTACTGGATAGTAGCTCTCCAGGACCGGAGTTGGAGACCCCTGAAGTAGAGTGTCTGGTATGGACTAACATGGCCGTACCGCGGAACAGGAAAAGGCGTTTTTTCGTTAATGTTTCTTGCTTTCTGCACCCACTAAGCAAACATGTAGGGCATCTAAGTGCCGCCATTTTTATTCAGCGTAGGAACTGTAACTTGTGTAACTGGTGCTTTCGGCCGTTTATCTTTGCATGTGGATTCAGATGATTCTAAAGCATTATTGTCATTTGCACCGAAGCACAGTAAAACACCTGCAGATCTAACGTACGACGATATAAAGAACAATAAATACGATATAACGAATAGTGTGAACGGTAACATACATGCAGTTCTGTGCAGGTCGAATAGGAGGGACCCAGCAAGACGGTGTATTCAAGTCTTTAACTACTATGCCACCTGCTGCCCACTGTATGCACCCGTGCTGATTAAGAACTCTAGAGCCATTCACTGATTTTTCTCGTTTTTCCTTTGGCTCCCTGAATTTGATAAAGGTGTTTATGATGATATCCTTATAATTCAATAATTTAAAATGGCCTCCATCTTTAGGGTTGGGTCAGCATCCTTTTAATGCTCTTCCCACGACTTTGCGCAGCTGTGTAAACACGTACAGCACCGATCGCAGAACTCGCACAGATACCTCGGATCAGGCAGTCCAGCCTGGGTCCGTATTACAGCCTCTGATCCAGGAGGCTCTGTCTTTGGTCTGTCTGAATTCCATGGTGTCAGATGTTAATTTCTGCATCCCTCCATGTCCGCTTGTGGTCTTCGCGCTGCAGTTGCTAAGCCTACAGAATGTTGTCATAACAAGACTTTAGCTGGGATTATGTGTAATCGCTGGCCAGGGCTGCACTTCCCCGTCGCCCAGTTTCATTCGTGTCAGCTGAGACAATACTGGTGGATTTTTTTTTTTTTTGTCCTCTCAAACACGTCAAGCCGTCGCCTTGGTCTTACTGGGTCCCCGAGCCACCGGTGAGGTGCACAGAATCCCAGATGAATTATTGCCACATTTCCTGCAGCTTCTGGATGAGGGCAAGGGTGACGACAGGACTGCAGAGGCCTTGGATTGTATGGGACCAATTATGTGTAAATGCCGCCCCCTATTGTCCAGTCTGACTTTGCCGCTTTTGTTGAGAAGAGGGAAGTACTGTGGCTGGTCTCGGAAACTAACCTGCCGTCACCAAACAACAGTCTTGAGCTAAATCTGTAAAAGTCAATACAAATCAACAGTTATCTGAATGGGCCAGTAGGTGGCAGTGTGGTGACACTGGCTTTGTGCTCTGGCTATTGTGTTGGTGTAAGCTTGACAGCTGTTTTTCTGTTAAAAATGTTGTCTGCCAATTATTTTGGGTAAAAACATCAGAGCTTGACCTGAGGACAGGCATATTTCCTCATAAACAAAGCCGTTTAACTGGCTGAGCGTGGCTTATTGTGTTTGTGGGGCAAAGGCAGTCAATTAGAAAAAAGCAATAATGAGAATATAAAACACACGGACCATGGATCTGTCAGGCCTGGTTCAGCAAAGCTCCTTTCTGCAGCCCGGTCGTAACACTGCAAGAGATTAGAGGTTTACAGTGGGAATGAAAGTTAACGTTACATAAAATTCAATGAAGCAGATTGAGTGAAGCTGCAGGCAAACAGTCTCCATAACGAGGGGACATGCGGTACCGTTTGGGAGCCTTTTCTACATCGGCCTGGTTTACCTGAAGCAGGCTTACGATGAAGCCAGGGTCTTGATGACCGCTCACTTTCTGGGGCTCCACCCAAACAACCATGAATGCGTTTCCCAAAAGCTTCTGCTAACTGCTTTACATGGTTTGACCCCTTTCGATTGCATGGTGCCAGCTATGTAAATAGCTAACGTAGTTAGCAACTATGCTTTTGGAAAACTCGCCTCCCCCTAGTAACTCATTCCTCCCACCATTAGGTGGCGCTGCTGGATGTGGACATCTGCGGACCGTCCATTCCGAAGATGATGGGTGTGGAGGGAGAGCAGGTACGTGAGACGCCGAGGGAGCCGTGTGTATATAACCAGTTAGATGGTTCGATGTGTTTTATAAGGCTGCTAACTTGTTATGCACTGAACTTAAATTGATGACCTTTATTCTTAACTGCTACATCAGTGATTTGGAGCTGGAAAATATCTCAGCATTTTAAGGATGGTGTAAATCAGTCCCCAAAGATTTGGGAATGTCCAGTGGCACATTATTCAGCTGTCTTTTTTTCGGTGCAAATATGACGTAAAATGCAGAGTGTTTATTGTGAAGCCAGTGGGCTGAGGCTCGTTCTCACACTCACAGCTGTCGTTCTTAAATAAAACCACCACATTTTCCCAGAAGATGGCCAGAATCCCACTTGAATGGTGTAAAACACAGGCCAGTCTGACCTCAGCTTATAAGATTTTCCTAAAAGCGCTGTTTAGAAATCTCTAAAATGGTCACAAACATGCAAATGTGTTTCATATTGAGTCAGAAGTAGTCAAATTTGGAGATGGTTGGTTAGGCCCCTTCAAAGGCCTCTGGCACCTGCCCAGTCGCGACCATGTGTCGTAGGAGATGTAGATAACACAGTATTCACTTAACATAGTATCACCCCAAGGGTAAAAGTTGATCTACTGTTATGGGCACGCAAAAAGTCACAAGGCCTTATTATATCAACTGTTATTATCAAGACAGCAAGGAGTATGTCGCTCTGGTCATCGGTGTCCATTTTGTTGTCGTCTTCTCCTTGTAGGTCCATCAGAGTGGCTCAGGCTGGTCGCCCGTGGTAAGGAGAATCCACGCCACGGAGATACTCTGCGGGTGCTTTCGGCTGTACTTTGGGGGAAGCTGCTCACAGCCGTGCAGGAAGTTAGGCGGAGAGGCAAACGAGCTCGCCAGAATTAATCTCTCTGATGGAGTCCAAGATAAAGGCCAAGCAGTAACATGCAGGCGTACAATAATTTGGTGGTGATGGATGTGGTGGGCGGGTCCTGGCGCGGTGATCTGTCGCTGAAGTCCTGCCAAGCTGACTCCAAAGGATGAAAGAATGCGGCTCGTCTGGGCTGGCCGAGCCGGGGTATCGCTGATGAGTGCGGTCGCAGCCAGCTTGGCATTCCATGGGCGCGAACTCCACCGAGAGCCCTGCCGCCGAATGGTGTTAGCACTAGCATTAGCATTGAGCGCATTAGCGTCTAGCGCCGATCTCTCCTGGTCGGAGACTCGTGCTTTTTTTTTGCGATTCCTCTGACTTTGACGTCAGTTTTTCCATCTTGACAGCAGAAGGCGATAACGTGCGATTATCAGAGAGCCGCGATCGCCTCCCGCCTGAATCCACAGGCTGCGGTCAGGGGGCCGCTGACTGATTCGCTCCACCATGCCCCACGCCATTAAACTGGAGCGTTTTTGGATATTCCCATGAGTTCGGGAATGAGGTGTGAGGGGCTTGCTCACGGAAGCCCTCCCGCCTTCCTCCCTCGATCACCCCTTGGCAACATGAGCAGCTTTAGAAACGTCAGCGTGGCCTGGACCAATCATGAGTGACGTGTCACAGGGGATTATGGGAGTGACAGGGCGTGGATATTCCTGGCTCTCCGAGTGTGTGTTCCGGGAAACCGTGTGCCTTCCAATATATGGCACTCAGTCTTGCATATTCCCCAACCTAGCTAACACATCACCACAACATCCCCTGTACCCATATGAGAACTGATATAATGTACACCAGCATACAGCTAAGACTTAGGACAGGTTAGGGGTAACTAAACAGGGTTATGTTTCCCAAAAGCATAGTTGCTAACAACATTAGAAACGTGCATAGTTGTGACCAGGCAACTTAGGTTTCCTGCTATGCAGATTGCTAAGGAAGCTTGTGGCAGGCGTAACCTAGTTTGATTGAATAATTATGCTGCTGTTTTTTTTAACAGGGATTGTCGTTTTTACTTTGAATGCAATTGCTTTAATTTATTTTTTGTTTCCTTTGTTGTAAAGGAAACAAAGGAAACAAAATGAAATGTCCAGCTTGGAAATAATGCACAATAATGACATTTGGGAGATTCTCCTTTTTTAGGAAAAATATTGAAAATTGTCTAAATCGAAATTCATGACTTAGTATCAAGATCGAAACTAAAACTTTGGTACCGTGGCGACACGATTGCTAGCATTTGAGTAAAACATCTGGAAGAGGGTCTTGTCCTGTAAAGGCTGGCTTTCGGTCTTCTCTGAGGAACATGACGTAGCTGACCTTCAGGTGACTGCCAGACGAAGCGGAGGTGAGCCTGTGCATCGCTGCTGTGTTTTATGTATGGACGACAGGAGAACCTTTAAAGCCATTAAAGGCACTGCCATAAACGAGTGTCAGTGTTGACAAAGGACAACGCCCAGTCCCTTTGCCAAATTCCCATCTTGCCTTAGAGATACAATCAGGTAGTACTTTTTTTAGCCTTACTTTGATTCTGGTTTCTCTGGTTTTTCCGCGATCGCCCGGGCCTATTGGAATGAGGGCCACATCACCAGTGCTACATGGTGATGGGCAGTGCTTTATGAACGGTCCGGAGCGTGTTGCGTGTTCAGGAATGTCATACGGCTCTGCTGTCCCTTCCCCAGTACGTGGAGGACAATTTGGCTGTGATGTCAGTCGGCTTCCTGCTTAGCAGCCCGGATGATGCCATCATTTGGAGGGGTCCGAAGAAGAACGGTATGGCTTTGTCTGCACCAATCAGGTCGCTTTGCTGGCTTTGTCTGCACCAATCAGGTCGCTTTGCTGGCTTTGTCTGCACCAATCAGGTCGCTTTGCTGGTTAGGGCGGCTCCTGCACCAAACAAGCACAGCACATGCAAAATGAATAAATTGCAAAGCAGTAAAGAGGATTAGGGCCATTTTCACTTCCTTGTTCTGCCGTGTTTCAGCCGAAATGCATCTCCAGGTTTTAGGGACGGTGTAAATTAACTACCGATGGTTTGGAGACGATTCGGTGAATTCTTTATTATGAAAATCTGAAGAGTAAAACGAAGAGCATTTATTATAAAAGCAGTTTGCTGTGTGCCGTCTGTCACATGTGGCTGAAATCCCCCTTAAGTCGGGAGCTCCCCTTCCACGGTGACAACAGCCTGACCTCTAAGAAAAATTCTCCTAAAAGCATTTGCTATAAGCCGCAAGCATTATGTATAGAACTATCTTTTTGTGGTATTATGACAAGTAATTGCCACGTGTATCATGAGGGCAATGCGTACTTGCATGCCAGTAATGCCAATCTCTGACTGTGTCTCTCGTTCTGAGTTTCGCCCCGAAATTGCAGGTCTTTCAGATCTGACTGACTCAGATGTAGTGAATTCACAGTTATGCTGTTTGGTGCTGGAACCAATGTCTGGCATGTCTGCCAGAATCTGCCAGTTCCTGTTGTTCAGCACAGTAAAAAGCCCCTTGTCCCAGCCAGAGCACAGAGAGGTACTACGGTCTGGCAAAGTGTGCGAGGTGGTGGCCTGGGGGGGCGTTTGTCGGGGTGAGGAGGACCCCACACAGCTGATTGGCTCCCGTGGCCTCTGCCATCAGCCTGGTCTGCATTATTTCCTCAGTTCTCTTTTAGATAATGAGAAGTAGTGGTAGGTGCTGGGGGGCCGTTGTATCGTGGGTGTAAGTGGGGGTGGGGGGGGGGTAAGTTTTTGGGGGGTATTTTTTGTGGTAATTGACTTGTTTTTAGAGGCCGTAGGAGGTGGTTCATTGGCGCTGAGCGTCCGCATTCCCCAGCCGGTCCAGCCTCGCACTCGCCGGCCTTTATTTATACTTGGTTAGCTTTCGGTTCCCCTTCAGCTTTGCGCCACCTCCCCCCCCCCCCCCCCCCCCACCCCCACCCCATACGCACTTCCCTCTAGCACCCCAAGCCGAAAGTGGCCTTTTAAACGGCCGCGTGCGTTCTGCTTGTTTGGGCCCACCTGCTGCAAGTCCACCCCCCCCCGCCCCCCTGTCCACCGCACCCTGGCCAACGCGCCGGCCGCAGTCATGTGACTTACCACACGGCCTTATTTAGAACTCGCATGTTTTAAATAACACTCCCTCCGCAAACAGGGAGACTGGGAGAGGCTGGTATGTGAGAGGCTGCTTGGCAAGGGGTGGAGCTCCCTGGGTAAAGTGGGGGGGGGGCTGATTCTTGCCAGGCCTGGCTAGGGCTTGGTGATTACAGGAATTAAGGCAGATAAACAACAGGAGAGGAGGAAGCTGCCGTGTGCTGGGGGAGGGCGGGGCTATAGGTGATTGTTGTTACCTAGCAGGGCTTTTAGAGAAATGGAACTAACCAAGCATGCCCCCCCCTCAAAAAGCAGTGTAGGGGGTGCCTGGCCAAAAAATGTCATTTTCCTAAATAACTGGGCACCCCTCCCCCCACCCCCAGGAATGATAAAGCAGTTCCTGAGGGACGTGGACTGGGGCCAGGTGGATTACCTCATCGTGGACACCCCCCCGGGCACCTCTGACGAACACTTGTCGGTGGTGCAGTACCTGTGCGGTGCCGGTGTGGACGGTGCCATCATCGTCACCACCCCTCAGGTAAGAGAGCCCCCCCCCCCCCCCCCGGACGCATAGCCAGGGAGGGGCCTTCGCAACAGAATAAACAGGCTGAGTGGATGAAGGGACAGGAACAGTATTATGAGGAGCTGGTCTGAGTGTGGGGGGGGGGGGCACTCTGTAGTTTTTAGCCACTCTGTCAGCCCATCGACTCGGGGGCGACGCTGCTGCTTGTCCTGGTTTTCGGGAAGCTGGAAAAGAGAATGAATTTCCCCGACTGTTTTCCATTCCCAGCGTCGGAACGCTGTCCGCGTCTCGCGTGCATGTTCTATTCTTGCAAAATGAAAACAAAACCTGTGTGTGTGTTTGGGGGGAGGTGGGGTGTAAGAGACACATTCTTACACCCATGCAGATCGGAAGCAGATTTTTTTTTCTCTCTCTCTCACAGGAGGGGCTGCTGCATCTTATTTCCATTACTGCATGGGGGGCATGTTTTCACACATTACTCACACTGTTGCAGTTCATCCTTCTCTCATTGTGTTTCATTTGCACGCCCCCCCCCAATTTACCTGGCAGGAAGTTTCGCTGCAAGATGTCAGGAAGGTGATTCGCTTCTGTGAGAAGGTGGGGCTCCCAGTCATTGGCGTGGTGGAAAACATGAGCGGTTTTCTGTGTCCTAAGTGCAAGGTAATTGGGGGCGTCCAGGTTCCTCAATCGCTTTGCTCACAGGAGCGTGACATGTTAATGCACAAGTGCTGTAGCTTCATCACATAAACATACATCCATCCATCCATCCATATCCAGTTCTGCTGTCCAGGGTCGCAGTTTATCATGAACTTTTTATCAAGGTTATTGACCTATTAGTGTTATTTATTATTGATTATTCACCTTATTTTGTGGGTGGGGGGTCCAGAAGCTCTTTTACAAAAGTGTCATCTTATAAAATTTTGCAGAGCTAGTTAAATAATATTTCTACTGATAATATTAATAACAGTTTAATATTATTGACATATGTATTAGATATTAATTATCTAGCTTTATACCCTGGCAGACCATGACCCAGATTTTCCCTCCCACCACTGGAGGGGCAGAGAAGATGTGCCTGGATATGGGTCTGTCGTTCCTGGAACGGGTGCCGTTGGACCCCCGGATAGGTACGCACGTCGTGGGGGGGGTGAAGCTCAGAGCCCTTGGGTCTCCTTTCATTCTGCTGACTCTCTGACTCTCTGCTTCCGCAGGGAAGAGCTGCGACGAGGGCAGAGCGTTCCTGATGGATGTGGCGGACTCCCCCGCCGCCGCTGCTTACCGCAACATCGTGCGCAGTAAGGCCGGGCGCCCGCTGGGCTTGGCGGGGGCTCAGCACCCCGCGCTGCTGCCTTCCAAACGTACGGTCCTGGGTGCGAGTCCCACCCCAGCTAATTTCGGTTGATTTGGGCGCAGCATGCCGAAGGCCCGGAAGGGTCCGGGACGATCGCTGCCCCCTTTGAGACAGAGGATGGGGGAGGGGGCGTAGAAAGGCTTAAAACACTGTTACAGACAAACGGCGGGAAAAAGTGAAATGAAAGTAAGCAGTGACATTCAGAGAGGAAGGAAATGCACAGCCAGTTCTGAAGAAGCCTGATTTATTTATATAATTTATACAGAACCACGACGCCCCCCCCCCCCATCTCACTCCATCCAATCCCCTGTCATCTCCTCCAACAGGGGTCACGGAATACTGTGCATCGAGGCGTCACCAAGGTGATGCTGACTAGACAGAGGCGCAGCGTGAGAATGGGGAACCCCTGATAGCGGAACCAGGGTTCTGCTGCCACCGTACAGCATGCGGACGAGCCATTGGCTGAAAACATCGCAGACGACGAAGCTCTCTGCACAGTATCATTCCCTGACCAGATTTATGACGTCACTGCTTTTAATTGCCCTTTTTCAAATGTTTATATCGTTTAGGTTGAATAAAGAGTCGGATCTGTGAAACACAGCAGGTGTCTGATGATGGCCTCTGGTTGGTCGAAGCCCGGAGCCTCATGCGCCCCTTGGCTGTCTGACACGTTTGCGCTTTGTCTGATCGATGAACTCAAAGCTGCCGTGCTCCCGTTCTTTAGCACGAGCGCCATCCTTCAGAAATCCAGACTCCCGGTGACATCG